AACATGTATGATAATACACTTTTCAAAATCTACAATTCTAAGGCTTAAATTAAATCCTCCTTTTCATTACCATTTGTTTGTAAGAGTAGCATTAAACTATGATTAGACAAAACAATGAAGAAAAATATAGAGAAAAGTATAGCAGTGGAAAAAAAAAATAAAGGTATTTTTAGTGGTAGACTAAACTGTTATTGTTGTAATGGATGACTTCAGAGCATTGGTTGGAACAAAGGATTTTGAGGTGATAAAAATAAGTAAAACCTGGTTAAATGTGGATGATTTTGATGACATGAATTTCTTTGAAACACAGGGTTATAGGTTGTTTAATAGGGATAGAGTATTAAAGAGAGGAAGAGGAGTGGCTTTATATGTAAGATGTGAGTTAAATTCTGATCAAATTGAAGTTATCAAAGCTAACAGAAATGAGGGCAAATATGTTTAGGTTTTTGTTAGTGGTTATAATAGCAGAAGAATTTTAGTTGGAATTTGTTACAGCCCACCAAATGAAAATAATGAAAGTCTACAGTGAAATAAAGAATTCAGTTATTAATGAGGTTATGATTATGGAAGATTTCAGTTATAGCCATATAGATTGGGAAATGTTAGATTCATATTATGAGGGAGACAGGTTTTCTGAAACTCTTCGAGATGGTTTTCTTCATCAATTGATTAGGAGACCTACTAGGAACAATAGTATTTTAGAGTTATTGTTAACTTCTAATACAGAACTTGTTGATAGGGTGGAGATTGGGAAACATCTGGGTGCAAGTGATCTCACTGCTCAACTAGGTTTGACATTTTGCTGTATATGGAAATTAGGAAAAATGAGATTTTAGTCCCAATTTTTTTTTTAAATGGCAAATTTCGAGGGGATGAGATAAGAATTATCTGCCATGAATTAGGTAACTGAATTAACTGGAAATAATGATCAAACATGGAAAAATTCTAAAAATAAATACTTCAATAATCAAGATAGGCATATTTTAAGTGTGGCTGCAAGTAAAAAAATAAGTTGTCTCACAAAGGGTAAGACAAAACTAAATATAAGTTTAAGTTCATTACAATGTTGGCAGATTTGGAAGAGTAAATAATATCAAGAGAGTTGGTCAAACTGGAAATTAGGATATCAAAGAACTATAACAGTTGGCAAAAAAAATGTAAAAATCAGTAGTAAGGACTCCTTTAAATACATTAAAACGTTAGAATGGGAGTAGGGCCTTTGAGTGATGATACAGGAAGGCTAGTATCCGATGGCTAAAAATTGGCTCAGTTATTAAATTCTACTCCTTCAACTTTTACTAATGAAAATTTAGGCAATATTCCTCATCCTGAACAGTTGCTAGACAGAAATATATAACACTGAAAAAAATGATCACATTAATTCTGAGCTTGTTAGGAAACAGTTGGGAAGTTTAAATAATGATAAAGCTCCTGGGCCAGATAATAGTTACACAGGGTTTTGAAGGGGTTATAGGATTAGATATGTGAGCCACTTGCTACTATTTTTTCTAAGTCCCTGAATAGTGGGCAGGTATCAGAGGATTGGAAGTTGGCTAATGTTATACCTTTCTTCAAGGGATTTTCAGAAAACATTTGACAAAGTATCAGATAAAAGGTTTTTTACAACGATTATCTCTCTATATGTGTGTGGGAGATAGGTTGGCTGATTGGATGGAAAGCTGTCTAGATGGAAGAAAGCAGAGAGTTGTTATAAATGGAGTTCAGTCAAACTGGATTAATGATACAAGTGGGGTACCTTAGTGCTCAGTTTTAGGAACATTTGTTCTTTCTGATTTACATCAATGACAAAGATGAAGAAATGGTCGATAAATTGTTCAAATTTGCTGATAATATTAGAGTTTAGATGTTGCTGGTTGGTAGGAGGATGTGGTTGCTTTATCAAAGGATTTAGATTATTTGGCAAATTGGTCTAATAAATGACAGATGGGTTTTAATTATAATAAATACAACATAATGCATGTGGGTTATCATAATTAGAATAATAAGTATAATTTTGATGGGATTAACGTTAACAGTGTAATAGAAGAAAAGGATCTTGGTTTTCTGGTTGATTAGTTCTTTAAGCCATCCATGCTGTTATTAGTGGCAGGGCAAATAGGATTTTAGATTTTATTAACACAACTACTGAATATAAGTCTAAAGAGGTTATAATATCACTGTTTATTTGCCCCCTTGCAAAAAGCAAGAGAATAAAATCTACAAAAGCATTTTTCATAAAACACAGCCCAAAACAAGATACATCATAATAAAATACAGTCAAAAACAAGAACAAATGTTTAATAAAACAACTATTGACTATTGGGAGAAATGAAATTTTCACTCATGCTGACTGTTCCACTTGAATACAGAGCATGAAAATGTTGAATCTGGCCAGAATTTGAAAAACAATGCCAAACTTATTATATTTTGTGTGTTTCAATTCAATTGTTAAAAATTAAGTTCATATTTCCAAAAACTAACCAATTTTGTACATGCTTACTCACCAATATAACAGCTTTTTATTTGCCCATTATTTGTATGTAGCTGCCACAATTTTTATTTTTATTGGTGTTACAGTATTTAAATAAAATTTAGAAGTATTTCAAGGCCCAGAAAAGTAAAATTATATATATTCCTATACTTTTCCTAAACTAACCATAATATAGAAATACAGATGCATTTTAGTCATCAAATTGCACGTAAAAAATTAACAACAGCAACACACAAGTATATACTAAAAAGAATATTTTCTCTTGAAGTTATTTATTCAGGGCAACTATTGCCCATAAATAACTATACTTGCCTAGTGAACAACTTTAAAGACAAGCTTAATACACGGACAACAAAAGGACTACTTGATCCTTGAAGATTGTCCCTGTACACCTATTTTGAAATAAAAATGAAACCCACCCCCATAATTTTCAGGAAATTATAATTTCAATTTTAAATCATTGTTCAGATGTCAGGCCTCATCTATTGCTTAGAACAACTTATTTCATAAGCTGATCACCATACTACTAGTAATAGAAAAATATAACTGTCCTAATTGGAGCTTAACAAGTCTTTTTTCAAATAATAATCTTATGTCCTCTTGTCTACATAATTCAGCAAAAGAAATAAGAAACTCTTTTATTATAATGATCACCAAGATCAACAAACTTAATTATGCAATTATCATTGTGTCAAATGTTTCCCTACTCCACTTCTTACAATACAACCACATCTTTATTAGGGGTTAACAATAAATCTCAAACGTTATCATTTCAGTTTGAATCCCCAACCATTTACCATAAATAAACAATCCAGAATCACTTCAAGAAACCTTTCTCCTTACTTAAATCCATTAACCCTAATAAATATGTATAAAGTTAAAATATCCTGTGATTATTGCATCAGCATCCGTTTTTAGTAACAGACATGATCTGATTATACAATTTCTTATTATCATCTGTCTGGTTGGGTGGCCTATTACATTAACCAATTAAAAACTACTTTAGAAATTCCCCCTCTTTTAAACTTTTATATAATACCAATTCTGAAAAAACATGATGACATATCTTAATTACCTGCTCACTGTCTCTGAGTTTAGCAATAGCACGAACAGACTTTAAATGTGTTTCAATTTCTGTTGTGACATCATCAATCTCCTGGATAGTATTGTCCTGTTGAAGCATTTGATCATCTTCAGCCTCTCCAGCCTCTTCTAAATCGGCTAGCAGTTCATCAGCAAGGGACATCTTGACTGATTAGGGTTATTCTTCCTTGAACGTTGAAGCTGAAAGTAAAATAAAAACAAAACGTGTAACACTATAATAGTGAATAAATCAATGTAAATTGTAATGTAATACTTCAGTTCAGTAACTTAGAAGAAGTGAAATTAACATTCATTAAAGTTTAAATAATGATGCATTAACAACTAACATATTTACCTCACTTTTATTTTTAAGTTACAATATAACTTATATTCAACTCAGTATCTGTGTCTTGGCAGTTATCAAGGTAGTTGAACAAACAGTGAACTATCGCTCTTACCCTGGCCTAAGCCACAAGTTGGCAGAATACAAAAGGGGAAACAAAATTAAAATATTCAAATTCAGCGTTCTAAAATAGAAACAGCTATTAAAATGCTCCAAAAATAATAATTAAAAGTAGCACTGTACCAGTATATCAATAGGCTTGCGGAAAGTATTTGTTAAAATGTTCCTTATTATAAATGTTACTAACTTTCGCTGTTTCAGTACCTTCCTTTCTATACTAACACACAAACAGAAAAAAACAGACTACGATGCACCCTCTGGTAGATGTTTTATTTGTTAATAAGTTTAGAGTACTATCTAATTTGACCACTTGTTTGTCTTTCTTAATTTAATTTTACAAGATCAATTTCGCAATAACAGCAGTGATAGGTCATTTTAAACAAAAATGGATAAAGGCTTTACTAAATAATTTCAGTCAATAAAGGTTATCAGAGCATGATATATATATATATATATTCGTTGCACCTTTTGTAATAATCATGCTCACGATGTAGTATATGTCATCAGCATACTTGATTTAAAAAAGAAAATATGTGAACACACTGTCTCAAACTTTATTGAAAATACTCAACGTATTTTTAACACCACCTTCAAAGGGTGTAAAGGGCACAAGTAATTAATTTGAAATAATTTTTATGGTGATACTAGATAACCACTAATTCAAATTTTCATCGCCATTCGGTGACTCAGCAGTAAACTTGAACGGTTTATAATAGCAAAATTGTGGGTTCGATCTTCGAGACGTACACAAAGAAGATAACTCATTGTGCATTTTTGTATTTAATTATATAAGCCGAGCATACCCTAGTGATTAGCTTGCCGGGCTACCGGGCACTAATGAAGCCGCAAAAGTGAAATGTTGACTGAAGTAGAAAGTTTTATTATTCTCTGAGTAGTAAAGGTTTTTTTTTTATTTTAGTGCCAAAATGTCAAATACATTATACAGAAAGTTATACTAGCAGCTTTATGAAGCCGTTTTTCAAAATCAAATTAACACTTACTTCCCGATTTGAAAACACACCATAGCTCATTATATACGCGTAAAGAGTTCATACGAAGTTATTTTGTTGTAAAAGGGTGGTGTATGTTGAGTTATGTTAGAAGCGAGTCTGAGCTTTATGGAATCAACAAATTATATATATATATATATATATATATATTTATTTATTTATTTATATATATATATAGCGGTCCGGGTGATGTATGTAGAGAGCGTTATGGAGATTCTGAAAATGTTCGAGGCGCGGTTTGTTTAAGGATTGTACAAGAATGACTGGAGATTAGTTTAGCTAGGTCATTTAACATTTGTCGTTAATGTATATATAAAATGTATTGTATTGTTTCTTATGCCTTAACGTAAACTGTTTTTAATTGGTAGTTCTCACTTGGTTTTGCTGTATATTTTATTCGTAAATCATTTCACAAGACATGAATCACGACCTCAGGCCTAAATGTATAGTATTTGTCAGTTGGTTTCGTTTTGTATAGATCATTCATCGTATCAGCCACAAGACTTAGGCCTGATATGGTAATAATAATAGAAAACGTTGTAGAAATTTCCACTGTAGTATTTTTGAGGAGTTCCAGTAGTAATCCCGCCACCGTATCCCACCATTTTACCTGAGCTGGCTTGTTTATGGTAATTTTCAATGTTTTTTTCCCCCGAAATGTTGATGAGCTTTTTACGGTATTTCCGAGGTGTAACCTGTAGGCCCAAGTTGTTTGATGAAGCATGAGTGAATATACAACATTGTGTCAATAATGTCATGGTGTTGATCTTAATAAACTACTTGATGTCAATCAGACATAACCTTTTAATCATGTTTTTCTTTTAGTGTGTGCATGGCCTGACATTACTGTGAGCGATTTTTTTTTTCTTTCCTTATGGAAGGACAACCAAATTCTGATCAATGGCTGTCCTTTTGACAACCACTGAAAATGTCTTCCATTTGTTCACTGCTTTGATTGTTTATGGCTAACGTTGCCACTTACCCTAGTAGAAAAACTGATGTGAGAAGTTGGTGATAGAAATAGACATAGAGAACTCAAGACTGGAGCAAAGGAAGCAAAACAAACATTAAGTCTATAAAACATAATTCCGCATAACAATAAGTATATATCACTTAACCATTAAACCCTGATATTGAATTTGTTTTAATTACTGTTTATCAACAATAAATTATTACATTTGATCTCCTACTGTACAGATACCCCAAAACATTTGATCTGGATTATCGAGAAGGAGTACTGACCACATATGCAGAATGTCTTTAATGTGTGAGTAACCTTCTGTACGATACCAACTTTTATTTTATTTCTCAAGTTTCTCGTATCCTCCTTTACTTAGCTTATACATGTACGGTTTCCTAATTATATAAAAGCTTATTGCTATTTAATGCTTGCTTTATCAAAATAATGTTTGTTTGGTAATGTTTTTGTGATATCATACCAGTCAAGAACGTACAGTAACTTAGATGTAATATAATTACATGAATTGATATTCTATAGATCACATTTTCTATTGTCACTCTTACTCTATTTACAGTGGATTTAGAAAAGCAGTAACTTTTTACTGTACTAGCCAAAATTACACAAAACACTACCCTACGGTGATAATAAGAGTTAGAGGAGATCTAATTTATTACACAAAACAATACCCTACGGTGATAATAAAATAGTTAGAGGGGATCTGATTTATTGCACAAAACACTACCCTAGGGTGATAATAAAAGAGTTAGAGGGGATCTGATTTATTACACAAAACACTACCCTAGGGTGACAATAAAAGAGTTAGAGGGGATCTGATTTATTATTGTTAGTGTGGATGCATCATCTTTATTCTGTACATAATAGTGAGAATGGTAGAACTAGGGGGATAGAAATATAAATTTTGTGAGGGTAGGAATCATCTTCAGCTAAGACAGTTTTATTTTTCTAACTGGGGTGAATTGGATTGTCTTCAGGTGAAATCAAAACAGTTCATTTAAAGGAAGGCTTAGTAAGTATATACGAATGATAAGGACTGGTTATGAGGTCATATATATAGTTTAGTGGATGGGACAGCCTAGATGAGCTAAAAGGTATTTTGTTGTCCTTAAACATTATGTAACAGTATCTTATGTTTCACGATGTATATTTTGTTGTTTATATAAAAGGTTTTAAATATGTAGGTCATTGATTCTCTTCCTAAACTTATCCAAAGTGCTGATAGCAACTCGTTCCATAGGTCAATCACCTTGTTAGAAAAAAAAAAACTCAATTAACTGGAGCAAAGCCTGTTTTTTGTCCTAATCCTAATCTTGTGTATTGTCGTTTTATCTAAGAGTAAAGCATAAAGAAATGAGGGGTATATAATTCTATTGACCCCTTGGATAATCTTGTAAACTTCAGTAAGATCACCTCTTACACTTCTTTTATAAGAGATCTTAACGTATTGGTAAAAAACCCTCTATATGTAGATGCCCATGGCAGAATACTTTTTATAATTTGCCTTTGGCTATGTTGTTAATAGCAGTTAAATCTTGTTTAATAAGTTTCTTTTATTGGATATTTTTGTATGAAACTAAATTGTTTATAAAGAAATATATTTTGTATTCATTGTTTTTTACAAGGATCGTATGAACAAATGACCCTTACTGGATAAATATTATGTTATCGAGTGTTGATCTTCAGCGGTATTGATGATTGTAGCTGTTATTTTAAAAAAGTTATTCTTATGATTATGAAAAATAAACTAATGCTTATTTGAGATTAGTAGAAGACAAGGCTGTTCATAAAGCATAATTTTAGGACTTGCGTTTATTTTGCTTGTAGGTAATCGGGACACAAGTGTCAAGGCATGTCTCCTTGTCACTATGTGCTCTAACCTTGTTTTGTACAACTTGCTCACGTCCTATATTCGCCAGATGACCCGAGGACCTCGGTATTTTCCTACAACTCTTGTGTTTCTTGCAGAACTTGTCAAACTCGGTTTTTCTGTGATCATTTTACTCCACTCTTGTGCATGGCGTATACGAAGGTTGAAAGTACTACTAAAGAAAGAAGTACTGAATAAACCAAAAGAATTCATGAAACTAGCAATACCAGCTGGGCTTTATGCTCTTTAGAATAATCTAGTCCAGGTTGCTTTATCTAACCTAGATCCTGCAACCTATCAGGTAGGAAAAAATAGTTGTCCTAAATACAATTTTATTTACACATTTTATCCAAGTTAAAAACAAAGTGCACATATTACAGTCTATAGCTATCTAAAGTTGTTAACAACTGTTATCATCTTACATATTGTATTACAGTCTGTAGCTATCTAAAGCTGTTAACAAGTGTTATCATCTTACATATTGTATTACAGTCTATAGCTATCTAAAGTTGTTAACAACTGTTATCATCTTACATATTGTATTACAGTCTGTAGCTATCTAAAGTTGTTAACAAGTGTTATCATCTTACATATTGTATTACAGTCTGTAGCTATCTAAAGTTGTTAACAAGTGTTATCATCTTACATATTGTATTTTGTTCCAGGTTACAAGTCACCTAAAGCTGTTAACAACTGTTGTCTTCATGTGTGTTATTCTTCGTCGGCAGTTTCTGTGGATCCAGTGGTGTGCCATCTTTCTTTTGTTCTTTGGTGTTGTTCTCGTTCAGTTACATACAGGGATGTTTGCAGATTCAAACAGTGGACACTACTTAGTGGGTTTAATATCTGTCATAATCATTTGTATTTGTGCTGGATTTTCTGGTATGAAGATTTTAGTTGCACTTAAGTTTATGCTAAGTGATGTAATTGATAGTATTTTGACATGCAATTTAACGATTTACCCTGGCTTGTGTAAAACCGACAAGTAATATCTAATTAACATATAAGTTAAAATTTTTTTAAAGATAGTTTATGGTTTAAAACAATGTAAATATTCTTGAAAGCATGACTACGAAGTGCAATGTGCTAAGAAATTTACCAGCTGTTTACTTCATTTAAAAAAAAAAATTGAGCAACTGGGTAAAATCATAGTAAGTGTACTTTATTCAAAATATGTTGGTTTTAAAAGAACTTATAGTTTCAAATTTTTTTCCTTTTTTTAATTACTTCGATCTCCATAACAAGTGAAATGGTCATCACGTGTGTTAATTTGACTCTTTTTGAAACTGTTAGGTGTAAAATAATTGAACCAATTCTCCTGAAAAAAATAAAAGAATAAGACTTTAGAGAAAAACATTTAGTAGTTGTTCATGTTTTTTAATTTGTGAATTGATTATATTAACACCAGCTCTAGAAATTTATACGGTTAAGATATGGGTGCATTATAGGAGTGGCAGTCAATCTCTTAGCTCGGATGGTGGGTGGTAAGGTGCTGCTGACTGGGTAAATGTTAATAACCTTTTTAGTATGGTTTTCTTCTGCTCTTCTTACACTTCTCAAGATCTTCATCCTCTGATAAAAAATTTTTTAGGGGTGGGTGGGTGAGATGGTTTTCTACTGGTGGGCAGTTCAGACTCCAGTTGTCCCAAGAGGCTCAAATTGCTATTCAGAATTATATAAAAAAAAAAAAGATAATACTGGAAAGTCTTGTTTGGGAATCAACCCATCAAAAATGACTCCCCATCAATGTTAAAACAAAAATATGACTCTTGAAAAGCAGGCTTCAGAGCATTACTGCACAAGCAGAAAGAATTATCAGAGGCTGTGTATGAACTCATACATATTCTGTAGAAAGAGAAATAATTACACCATTTCTTTTTTGTTTTTGATAAAAGAGTCAGCACAAGGGATCACATATAAAGTGTAAACGACTTATGATAAGACCCAAAACTCGAGCGCTTTCGAATAGTTGACTATTCTTCTCCAGGAGAACAAAGAAGAATAATAATC